AAAAAAAAAAAAAAAAATCAAAATTATTGTATTCTTTTCATCCTGATGGCATCTGGATTCGAACTTGGGTCCGCATTTCAATAGTTCACGGGTGTACCAACTGAGCTAGGCCCGTTGGTTTACCACCTGGCCGCAACGTTTTGCAGTCGAYCCTGTGCAGGCCTCCAAATTCAAATGGGCAGCCTGCCACCCAAACCTTAGAACTGAAGGCCTGTGCTGCCTTCGTCTTCATCAGGGTCCCCGTTACAAGACTCCATTGCCCATCCCCACACCGCCTTCATCTTCAGCAGCATGCATACGTTGAACTGCAGGGTGGAGTCGGGTGCAGCGGAGCAAGCAGCACGTGGAGTTGCGGGCAAAGAGAGCAGCAGTTACTCAAAATATCAGCAGAAACTCGAAAAAATTGCTCTATTTTACAAAATTGTTGCAATCAGGGTTGCCAGACCGAACGTACGGAGGCCCTTAAGCTGACCCCCGAACGTTCGGGCGTTCGGGTCCCCGTACGGGGCCCGAACTTGAAGGGGTTCGGACCCCGCAAAAAAATATTTTGGCACCCAAATATATATATATATATTTTTCTGAATTTGTTTTTGTGAGTTCTGTGTGATGTAAGGTATCCCCCACTTAATTTTGAAGTCATTCTGTTGAGCCAAAAAAAAAAGAAAAATCCTCCAAGGGGTTAGCAATCCTGATAGTTTACCGGCCCCAGCGTCAACGCTGTGCTAGCACAGCGCTGCGTAGGCTGGCCGGGGCGTTGGGCGCGAGGCGCCCGTTTCTATTTTTTGTTGATGTCACGGCACTGTTTCAGTGTCAGCGCCGTCGGGGGCGATGCTTGGGCAACGGGGGATCGCACGGGTGCTGTCAAGAAGATGGTGGTGCCGAGCCAGAGCTTGTTGCTGGGGTGGTGGGAGTGTGGGGGATCGAGTGTGTGGGCACTAAGGGGGACACGTTGCAAGAGGGTTTGAAGAGCCCTTGCCATGGGCCGGTCCAGGCAGACTGGGGTTAGCAATCCTGATCGAACGAGGAAGGATGGTGGCAGATGTGTGGACGTTCGACGGGCGGGATCCGAGCATTGCGATTTACCAGAGTTTCAGCTGGTTTATAACTGATTCACATCTGATGGAACCGATCGAGGGCTTAGTCCTTCGGTCTTTGATATGGAGATGCTGCGGGGTTCTCCTGTCTACGAGCAATTGTGGGCGGCCTGYGGCGAGAATTTGCCAGAGCAGCATGACGATAGAGTGTCGCGGTGCGATGGAGCTGACCGCATGAGTTATGCTGCTTTGTTGATTTTGTTGTACTATAGAAASTAGCTGCTRTTATTGAATTTGTCRYACGGATGACACTGCGAAAACTAGGGTTGGACGATCGGGGTTTGCAGCTAATGGAAATTTAGTTTGCGGGATTGCAGACACAAAGAATATGATTTTGTAGGTTCGGCGATAGAAATAGTAATTTGTTAGTATTTTGTTGTTGAAACTAGGGCTAGTTTTACGTCTGTTGCCTTTTGTGTGCTTTGTAGACAATAGGAATTATGTTTTGAACGACTGTAGAAATTGAGGTTGCCTCRGACGAGGAATATCGTTATGTAGTTGTTGTTATCTARCCTACCGTGTGTTGAAATAGTATTTGCAGCTATCTGTTAGTTTGTAGGTTTGGTGATAGAAATGGTAATTTGCTAGTATTTTGTTGTGGAAACTAGGGTTC